GCCCCAGCACCGGCTCAGGTGCTAGCCAATCAGGCCTGGCTGCTCCCCCTAACCTGGCCCCTGGCCTGGCCCCCCCTGCCTGCTACCCGGCTTTGCCCTGCCCTGCCCTAGCCTGCTCGCCCGGCCCCGCGCGCGTCACGCGCGTCACGCGGCTCTGCGTGACGGCTATTTCGGCCGAACGCGCGTGACGCGCGTGACGTATTCTCACGCGTGACGCGCGTGACGCGCGTGACGGCCTGCCCTGGTTCTTTTTCGCGTTTTGCGCGTCCGTGCGGGGCGAAATTTGTGCGACTGTTCCTATTCCTGGAGCACTGGCCGTTTTTCACTTTTTGGCGGTTTTTTGCCTTCGCGTTCGTGCGCCCGGAAATTGCTAATACACAAACGTTGGTTTTTCGCGAAACCATTAAAAGTAGGTGCGAGAGTCCCTGCCGAGGCGCGTCGACCTCCCTACGGTGCGGACCGGGTCCCGCGACAACGCGGCGGCTCGGGGGCCGGACGCCGGGTGCGAAGCACGACCCATTAGCCGCTCGGGTCAGGAGCAGCGCAACGGCAGACTCAACACCTTGCCTCCCCGGTGCTGGGGGGGAACCCTCTCAGGCCGGGCATGCCCAACACCGTTTTGTTGCTTCAAGCTGTGTACTGTTTGTTGGTCTAGGCGTTTCACCACTTCGTGCGTGCGCTGCCGGGCTACACTGGACGATAAAAAATGGCTTCTTGCAGTCAAATTTGACTCATCCTTGTCATGGAGCTTCTCGCTGCTGCGTCGTGCGTCCGTACTCGTGGCCAAGGTGCCACATCTCCTTGGCTGCTTCAGGACGCTTTGCGCTTGTCTGCACAGCTGAAAACTGCAGGCATTCCAGTCGTAGCTTTTTCTTTCTGGCTCGAGAGCATCTCCCCGCGTGTGCGGGACAGCGCCATATCCAAGGCCGTTTGAAGCTTCTTTCTTTCCTTGTCGTTTTGCTTTGCTTTGACAGGCGATGGCTCTTAATCGACGACCGGACGATTGGGCAGAGGTTCCTGCGTCGGCTCCTGAGGCGAGCTACCGTTCCGCACTCTGTCAGGTCCGACATCGATACGCACTTTGGATCCGAGCCCATCTTCAGCCCGGCATAGACATGGTGGAGCTCAACCGCAAGGCCAGGCTTTTACTCCGGAACCTCGTTCCTCTGCCGCAACTCAGGGCTTCCACGGGACTACCGATCCGGCCCTCCGCAAGCTTTTTCTATGCCGTCTCAGGCATCGCAGCAGTCACTTCCTCTTGTCCCGGGCGCGTCCTCGCACTGCCAGGTACTGGATCGACAAGCATCGAGCACTCGACCTGGCGCAGTTCGGCCGGCGAAACAGGTGCTTATTAGCTGTGTCTCTGTGCTTCTGTTTCTGACTCTCTTTTCCTCTGCTCCCTCTCTTTCTCTTTATCTTTTTCCGTTTTCTCTTGTCTTTCTTCTAACTCTCTGCATCTGCCTTCTTTCGGAGAGCTGCCAGGAGGTCACAGCAGTGAGTCGGGTTTCTGAGACGGCGACAGCTGTCATCTTAAAAAAGAGTGCCATGCTTCGGCAAGGTTGCATCGTCCAACGCTTGTGTGTCGTGCCCCTGTGTGATCCTGTGATTTCTGCTTGGCCCGTAACAAAATCAAACAATTTTAGCAGTGAGTACCCTCTGTTCTCTCCGTCACTGCCATGGCACCAAAGGCGCGGCTGCCCGATGCGGCCACCGCCTTTCAGGATACGAATCGCGCCCTGAAGATCCGGAAGTATTGGCTGCACTTGATCTTGACCGGAGAGAAAGTCATAGAAGCGCGCGGGAGCAAATGCGCTCACGTCGGAAGAGTGACTCTGATGGAGACCGGCTCTGCCTTGCTTCGTGCTCGAGTGACGATCACGGAGTCTCACCGTATGACGGACGCAGAGATCCAGGAACATCACGAAGCAGTTTCGGTAACTCGGTTGCATACATGTGGCACAAGATGTGAGTGATAGGGCTAGTTTGGCTTGTGGTTCTCAGGCACTGAACTATTCCCAGTACTGGGCTTGGTCTCTGGCCGATGTGGAAGTTTTGCAGCCACCGATTGCGGCGCCGTCCATCGTCGCCCGCGGCTCCGTGACTTGGATGTGCCGCGAGCGCTGGGAAGCTTGGGACGCAGGACAACTGGCGGCACCGCAGACGCTGCCGCAATCTTTCCATAGATCTGGACGGTCGCGAAGCCCACCACCTGCGACTGAGGAGGCGGAGAACATCGACTGAGGGCTGTTCTTTACACGTGTCTTGTACATCCGTTTGGGTGTGTACCTGGCGGCCAAGATCCTTCGGGCTGCCGGTGGTCCCCAGAAGCGCCTGGAGCCTGGGGCAGCCAAAAATCAAGAAATTGCAGGCATTCCTGGAAACAGCGTTTCTAGTTGAGTGTCTATTGTGAAATCGACAATTTTCTGGCTTTTGTGGGCTCCCCCCCATTTGGGTGGCCTGGGGCAGCCAAAAACCAAGAAAGCGCAGGCATTGCTGGAAACAGATCGAATGTTTATTGTGAAGTCGACCATTTTCTGGCTTTTGTGGGCTCCCCCCATTTGGGGGCTTGAGGCAGCCAGACCGAGCCACAAACCTTGGTTGAAGAGGCTTGAAGCAGCCAAAAACCTAAAAATTCCAAGCATTCATGGAAACAGCGTTTCTAATTCAGTATTTATTGTGAAATC